ATAATATATGCGGCCAAAAAACTAGCACGTCCTCGTTTATTTATCGCGGCCCCGCCCCTGAAAATCGGAGATATTATTAACCTGCAGCTGCATGCATATCAAAATATATAATATAATATATTATATTTACCGAATTTACTCTCGACAAAACGGTGTTGAAAATATTTTACGTATTTTAGGTGATATCGATCGACCAAAAAGAGAATTTCGCCTAGTATATCTATAATAGGTATATTGAATATTAATATAAGTAAATTTATTGGCGCGCTTGCCATAATATAATATAGGTACCTTCAGACATGTGTAGGTGGGTATATCTATATAATCCATATAATAAATCGCAAGACAAATTTCGAACCTTCGTCGTCGATCGCTATTTCGTAATCGTTGTAATATTATATAGGTGTATAAAATATATTATGTTCACCTATATACATCTACGTGTAAACACTTACAAGTATAATATACCTTATATAATATATGAAAAATACAGGCGGGCGGCGACGTCGACCACGACGACGCGAGATCGCTCGCGAAGCCCGTCCCCTGCACCCACCACCACCCGCGTTCACCCACATATAGCAATAGATATATTATCTCTGTCGAGGCACCGACAGCGGCGGCGACGGCCACCGATCGATTTTCGGCCCTCTGCTCCCCGTGCCGATACTCGACCCCCCCACACACAATCACCAAGTGTCGGGCGGCTGCGGCGATGGTGTATATATATATATATATTGTAATAGAAAAGGAGGCGGAGGGAACGACTACAGAAAAAAAATACATATTACATATTATATATATTTATGTATATACCTATACCTAACCCAACCACCCGGACGGTAACGTGCGTGTGCGGGTGCGTGTGCGTGTGCGAGTGTGAGTGTGTGTGTGCCGGCACTGCGCTCCTAGGATCATCATTTCGTACCTGCCGTCCGTCCGGTGCGCACGTATATGTTATATTGTCCCTTTTCCGTTTCGTTTACACCTCGGTATATGCTGCTCAGAACTGGAACGTACCCGCGGTACAATATAGTATAATAGTCAGTCATCGGGTAGACGTCGAGCCCTACCGTCGTCATAATAATATAATTGCGTATAATATTATATACACACCTGCTACATTGCAGCAGCTGTGTGCTACAACAGTCCAGTTATAATTATTTTTTTTTGTGAAATAAAAATTTTTAAGATCGCGGTCGTTCGAAATTTTTTTTTCTCGTGCGTGATTCAACCCGCCATATACACATAATATAACAATCGTCGTTATGTATACGGCCGCGCAAGTCATCGGTATGTTCCAAAACGCCTTTCCCTACGGCAACTACGCACGTAAGTCACAACTTTTATGTATTTACTTCATAGGTAGGTATATATATATCGCACATCTGTATAGGTAGATTTATTAGAACATGGGTAATAACTATATTATCATATTATTATTGTTATTACATTCTCTATACGTAGAATACCGTTTATCTCAGTCCGATGCTTCGTTATTGTGAATATAATATAATATATTATGAATTTCGTCATTAAATTCGAGTTTTTTTTTTAACCGCTGTATTTATACAATATTATATTATACTCTCGATGTCGATGTTATATATTTTATGTATATATTATCTACGTTTATTTTTCAATATCGTTTTGTTGACGTTTATCCGACGACGCTAAAAATTTAATCGCCGACGCGTCCTCGTAAATCACGTAATCTAAATTTATACACTTTGAACGCACATATTTTTAATTAAAACTATATATGTTTGTACCTCGTAAAAACGTACACGTAAACTTAAACAGATATATACATACCTATATATAATGTTTGCCCGACTGCTGCCGCAACAGACCGCCTGTGGAAATAAATTTAATTTACATCATATAGCGTGTTGCGATCTATATATACAATATATAGGTATACATATCAAGTTAGGTGTTAATATATATTGGAATCGTTAATGTCGAAAGTCTGTAGAAATTTAAATGTGGAAAATATTATTTGAAACGAATAGTAAATTATACTTTTAAATAAATTTAGCAGCTTTGCACGTTTTCATTTTTAGAATAAAATTACCCGAGTAATGATACTGTTTAGTAATGGTTTAAACACATATTGGCAAAACACTCGAGTTCCACGCAATAATATTATACACATTTATCCTCCGCGTGTGTAATACTATTTATTGTAATGTGAAGTAAACTAAAAATAATAATTTTTCGACGAACGTTTTAAGTATATATTATATCGGACGACAATATTACATCATTCTTGTCGTCTGTATATATGTTGACGATTTTGAGTGTCACTTATATAGGTTAGGTACAGCGTGTGTATTAATTTAATATGATAATTAGTATAAATAATTTATATTTTAAGAAAATTTAATCCCTCAAATGTGCAGGTGAATTTATTATTAAGTATATAATATAGTATAGTCAGTATATAGAGTAAACCTATAATAGGTATATACCCGCATAAGTATATTATATACTTACATCTGTAAACATATTGCATTAATAATTTGCCAATAATATATAGTACAAACTTAAAATAAATAATATATATTACTAATTTCTTATATACGGATAGTGAAGTAATGAACCACATATTATATGCAACAAGACCTTCGTATATTTTTTTTCTGTGCAAGATTTAGCTGGAAACTTTTACGTGGTTCCTCGGAACATCATCATCCTTTTATATTATTATGAATTCTTCGAACTGATAAAATTCAAGAATTTTTTTACATGTAAATATTGCCCTCGCGGCCTCACCGGCGTTTATACATAAAAATAATGAACGTCAATTAAACGCTATATAGCGATTGATAAAAATATATACAATTTATGTGATCCATTATTAAGTGTCTACACTCAATATTTTTTTTAAAACTTTTAACTTTTTTAAAAATATTATTCTTACATAATTTTATGTCATTGAGAAATAATATTTTATTAAGTTTTTATTTTTATGAAAGACTTACATTTTTTATTTCATATTCTACAACAGAATATTATTCGGGGGTATTTCGTATACATGTAAAAATTGAATTTGAACGAGTTTATCAATATATTTAGGAAAGTTATAATTTACATTTTTGGTGAATATATACAAGAGCTATATTGAAGAGCGGATGAGTCTATATATAGTATAATTTGCATAAGGATGTAGTCTTGCAAAAATGCTGACCATTAGTCCTTACTCCCCCCATTAATTAATTTCAATAGATACTATAATAGGTACCTTGAAATAACTATAGTTAATACTATTGTTTTCCAATAATTTTGATTTGCTAAATTATGTAAAATAAGATTTTCGAAATAGTTATGGTTGACGTTATATTTAACACTCGTAAATATTTTACCTTATTGTATTAACTATTTAATATAATATAAACGTGTTTAATGCGTTTATATATTGGTACCTATATCTTATAATGATATAATGACGCATATATATGTGGACCATACGATTTGCCAGATGTTGCGTGATAAACGTGTCCGAGGGACTATAGTTTATATGTAGCCATGTAGGTAGGTACCTTAATATATTATATATGTGTGTTGAGAAAACAACGTTCACACACTGTTGCAGCATATTAAATTATATACGTATATATAATATATATGTATACACAATAGTAGTAATTTATTTAACTTACTTCTGTATATATATTATATATGTATATATTTATACAATACACCGCATCTTTCGGTTTGATCAGCTGTACTATATATATATATGTAGCTATATAGTTCATTGGTTTTTATTGCATAACTATATATATATATACATAATATTATATACTATTAAAAACGTGAATTTAACTTGAACAGCCGTATGGTACCTATATATATATTCACTTTTTTTTACACGTGTAGGTATTACAGAAAAATATACAACGAACCCGCGAACTATTTAGACCGATCATAAATATACACTTGTATATACATACTATATACACATCTCCGAAAGATCGTTAAAACGCCGTGACCGGATTCCATCCGGTCGAACCTAAAACACATTAACCACCCGCAGTATACACTTCCATCTTAAATATATAGGTACCTTATATGTTATATTTATATTATACGAGTATATAATATATATTTTAATATAGTTTAGTTGTATCACGTTGTGACCAATCAATAAAATCTTGCATATAAAATAATATAATAACGATATAACGTGTGTATACACGCTATACCTGCTTACTTTATGTTGCAATATGTAATATAATTGTTGTAAAGTCGCTGTAGATAATTATTGTTTTTTATACTTCTATTATATACTTATATATTATTATTGTGGATTTCCTGGGAGATTATAAATGAAAAACCTGCAGCGTTTTCGGTTCCTAATGCAATTATTATATTATCATTATTAAACCAAAATTTTATTATGACTTGTGAAATTCGATGACAAAAAAAATGTACGAATTCAAAAATAACAATATAAATGAATAAGAAGATGGACGGCACTTCGTATAACAATAGACAGGTCGACGAACACACCTGATTGGTTTATAGGAGGTCACGTTACCTGCGCGCAGGACCCCCCCTAAACCGCCCGGGCAGGTGCGACCATCACGCCCTTTGCTCGTGCCGTCTCGTGTCATTGGCGCGGCGAACAATGCGTATTCACGAACAACAGGTGCATATTATATATATTGTATACCTGCAACCACCCGCCGTTCGAATACACGGCACTGGCGCACTCAAATGGCCGCAATACAACAATAAATTGTACTCAATATCGTATACATATATAGGCATACTTTATAATACGCCTCCCTATATTGTTAGATATATTTAGTATATAGGTACCCTATATCGTATATACATAGGCGTATATGTATCGGTGAAATTTATTACAGGTTTAGGCATAATATATTTTCGTGTATTCCGACCGTTTTTTTTCCGATATTATTTATAGGTAAATAATAATTATAGTTGCATTTTATTTATAATAATTTTTGTCCGTCTTTTGCCCACAGTTCCGTTGCCCGGGATGAGTCTGGAGGGTCTTCTCAAAGACTACCAGGACCTACACCACCAGCAGCAACAGCAACAGCAACAGCAGCAGCAGCATTTACAGTACTGCCCGTTTTGCCGGGAATCGGTTGACTTGGGATCGCTGAAGGAACACTTGGACGGCGGATGTCGCGCACGGCCACCTTCGTCGCAACCGTCCTCGCCCCCGACCACAGTTGCGGTCGCCGGCCAATACGGGTGCTTGCAGTGCAACGCCGCTTTTGGCAATCGCGACTTGCTCGAGAAACACGAACTGCTCCACTCGCCCAACGCCCAAGTGGTAAGCACTTATATAATATATTACGATTTACGATTCTCAATATAAATACAAGCGCATATTATAGGTACCTAATATATATAATACATTAAACTATTTAAACTATTTACATATTATTAACACTTCGTGATCCCTTCGAATTAAAAACAATTCAATTGTAAATTGCTCTGCCCTGCCCTGCCTTTAGCTGCAGGTATATAACACGCGTATTATATTACAATATTACACATATAAAACGTTTTTCCACGATTGAATAGAATTTTCGAAAAGCGTGCAGCGGATATACACGCTCGACATGCACGGTGCACACGCAGTCACGGCATGGTCGTTTGGTTGCCCCCCCCCCCCCGCGGAGGTATATTTTGTTTATTTATTTCCATTAAATTCCGAATGGCTTATATATCGTATAATATATTATATACATAATATACGTTCGTGGTGACCTCGCCCTGGCGCACCTCTATACATGCGCGATGAAAATGGCTCTGTGGGCCCGAATAACCTTTGTACATATATATATATATATATATGTGTGTGTGTTTAATATAATATACTTTAAACGACCCGTCTCACAGAACGTAGATATCCACACACGCACATATATATATATATATATATACAAAAAAAAATAAACACACCTAAAATCCGGTGCGCGTGCGTGCGTGTATTATATATATATATATATATATATATTTATGTGTTACCGACTCGCACACAATTGAACACATTCTCCGTGTGATTTTCGGGGCCATCGCTTGCGCGTGTGTGTGGTCCTGTGACGGGTTTAGGACTTAGGCGTAAGTTCCTATGTAATATACCTAATATATGTATTCGGACAATAGAACAGAAAATACTTCGGGGGGTCAAAAGAAAAATACGAGCACGTCCTGCAACATATATATACATAGTGCTACAAATAATAATAATCATATGGTGCTGATGCAGCAGATAACCCGACCTTGACGCGGGCTGTAGATCCACCGCAAGGTGTTATTCTCCGTGTAGTCTTGAAAAAAAAGAACCCCATCCCTCGAACCCCACGCCCCGCAGAGTCTATACTTGCGGGATGCGACTCTTCGGGGCCCGTCCAGATGTGCTGCAGGTCTTCGGTCCCTCGTCGTGTATAATATAATATATATATTATTATTGTTACCTCCCGCCGTTCGTGGAAATGCATATATATACTTAAAACCCGACCCGTTCACAAAGGGATTCGACGTGCGCACCGGGCCACGACGAAACGCGTCGACGCGACCTTCTTCTCGCTTGCATCGCCTTCACCATTATATACTATATGTATACCTATAATGCTTAGGTATATATATACGACATACGTATTATAATATATAACTACCCGACGAAGACGACGATGGCCATTAAAATCTCGCCATGACGGTCGTTTTTTCTTCTTCGTTTCCTTCCCTCCGAAACGAATCACCGACGTGATCATAATGACGTATATATATATAATATTATATACCTACCACTCCGTTCTCCATATAGGTACATACAAATATATATAGTCGATCTTCTTATTTTTCGTCTTTCCACGCACAAAAAGTGTTATTCAATTCGTATAATATATATATATTATATAGGAGGTATATATGCTTGACACGTTTGGTATAATGGATTATCGTTCTTTCGGGGGCGGAGACACGGCCTCGCCGGATATCAGCTATATTATGTATACGAGTCGAACGTGTATACTATATAATAATATGATATCTATATATGTCATTATTTCATTATTATTATATTTTACACACGGCAGTGCGAAACACATGCAGGACCACATGGCCTTTAGAAAAAACATATATATATATAACCACAAGCATTATTATCATCTGTAAAACACGACGATAGAGAGATAATAATATCTAATGTACACTATAATATTATTATCATCGCATAAATATAGTCTGGTCCCGCGGTGCGTGCTCGAACCATTAGGTATAATATATTATAATATAATCTGTCCTACGATAATCGCGCAGTCCCCGTCTGCTTCAGCTGATTACGATTATTGTTTATTAGGTTTAATATTTTGTCGGTTACTTTTTTCCCATCACGTGTGTTTGATAAAAGACACGAAAAAGAGGTGCTGCACAGAAAATGCGGGTGTGCGCGTTCGTGTGTGTGACCCAAAATATATATCTAATGTTGTATAAGTACCTACCTAATGAAAATATTTTATTTATCAAATATAATATACCAATTATAATAGACTTCGCATCCCGAATATGTCATAATATACTGGAGCCTCACACAATAAAGGCGTATATATTATACAGACGGGCTAATGGTTGCGCGGGGGAGGATGAGAGATGAGGTAAAGACGATGCCAACTGATATTATACATACAAGTATAATTTACATGTTTAATATCATGTGTTAGGATAGGCGCAGTTAAATTAACCGATCGTCATATTATCATGGTGTGGCGGCGGCGGCACATGGAATTATATAAGGATTTTCGTATAACCTGTCGCCATTAGGGTTTCTCACGATTACTGCACTGCACTAAATATGTGTGCCTGTAACACGGCGTATACACACACACACACACACATAAACTCACGAATATATATGTACAAACAACACATTATAATATACACACACACACACACATACATACCGCACGGTTTAACACATGGTGACACGTTGTTGACGTCATACCTTTACGACATTCGTCGTATTTCATTCTATATAATAATAATAATAATAATAATAATATACTCTCTGGTCTCTTTTTTTTTGTCTATAACATAACCGCAGCACGTCGACGGTGTGTCTCTCTCTTTCTCTAAACGGCGCTTTTTTCGTTTGATTATTATTTTTAATAAGGCGTCGTCGTCGCCGGGCATGATGGGATTTTTAGGACTCCTACGAAGATTTTTTTGGTCGTGAGATTTTACGCGCCACGGTTTTTTTCTTTTCGTATTTATATGGTCTTTCTTTCTTTCGTCTACCTATACCCGACCCGGTCCTTATTGCGGTACAAGTTATATATATACAGTATATATACTTATATCCCTGCGGCTCATATACGATACGTGTGTCTCGTGAACCGTCGTAAAATAATATCTGCTCTTCTTAATAACACGCACGTGTTTTTTTTTTGTTTTGTCTCGTCTGCAGTCCTGCAAGGTGTGCAACAAGACGTTCGCCAACGTTTACCGTCTCCAAAGGCACATGATAAGCCACGACGAGAGCGCGGTGCTGCGCAAGTTCAAATGTCCTGAGTGCGAAAAGGCGTTCAAGTTCAAACATCATCTCAAGGTAACTATATTATACTCTCATTTATAATTATGTTTATAATATATTAATATAATCACACCTATAACTACTATATATTATATGTATTACCTAAATAAAGTAAATATACCTAGCCTTTGATGTTTGATTCGCTCGGCGTATTCATAAGAGCTACGAAAAATTCATTTTTTTGTTTGGTTGTGTATAATATGGGTAATAATAGTAATTTCAATATAAAGTATTGAATTCATGATACGCTGCATGTGTCGCGTATTATATATTTTTATTTTTGCCGAAACTAAAAAACTGTTTGGATTTTTTTCTATATATAGGAACACATTCGCATTCATAGCGGAGAAAAACCATTTGAGTGCTCCAACTGCGGTAAACGGTTCTCGCATTCCGGTTCATATTCTAGTCACATGACTTCCAAGAAGTGTCTGATCATAAATTTAAAAATGGGTGGCCGAGGGTCACAGGCCAACAACCGGAACGCCGCTCACCATCAACCGAACAGTGGTTTTCCGGGCAAGCGTCCAGTTCCTAATAACAATAACAACATAACCAACAACAACAGCAGCAACCACAACAACAACAGTATCGGTGCCGGTGGCAATGCGTTCTCGCCCCTCCTACCATCGTCGGTGTCCAAGTACGACATGCAAGTGGTGCAGCCGAATCCAGCACAGGCACAATCGCTTACACAACAGCCCTTCTATAATCACACGCAACCAAAAGCCACCGCGGCGGCCATCTACTTCCCAGGACTGTTCAACACTCAGAGCAAGTTCAACATACACGATCTACTGCAGCCGTCGTTGCAGATGCAGTCAGCGATGGCCAAGCAAGAACAACAACAACAACAACAACAGCAAGAACAAGAACAAGACGACTGTTGTAGTAGCGATGGAAAGAACAAAACGATGACAGATGAAGACAACCGCAATAAGGACCACGAAAGTGGTGTTGACGATTTCAACGACGATGATGAGGAAGAAGACGACGACGACAAATACGACAACGTGATCGACGTGGTGAACGTGGTGAAGAAAGAACGTGAAGACGGCAGTGGAGGTGTGGACGAGGACGCGGCCGGCGAAACGGACGCGGCTGTTAAGAAACTCTTGGAGACGGTCAACGTATCGGCGGTCACCAAGCAGCTGATGATGGCCAACGCCGCGGCCGCCGCAGCGGCTGCCCTGCACCACCAGCAACCGCTGTCTTGTGGCTCGTCGGGCGGTTGCCCTAGCGTGACGAGCGACTCACCGCCGTACCACCACGGCTACAGCTTGTATCCCAACCACAACAACCATCACCACCACCACCTCCTCAACCACCACAGAGCCGAAAGTCTTGTCGGAAAAGCGGCAGACTACTCCGTGGGCGCCGGTTCCAAGACAACTATTAACAACAACAACATAAACAACGGTTACGACGCGGGCAGCGACTGTTACACCGACGACGAGCACAGACCGTGCACCACCGAAGAGGAAGACTCAGTGGACCAGGACGGCCGCAAGATCCGCGTGCGTTCGCAGATAGCTGATGACCAGCTGGCCGTGCTCAAGGAGTGCTACGCGGCTAACCCACGGCCCAAGCGCGAGGAACTGAGCCGAATCGCCGACCGGATCGGCTTCAACGTGCGCGTCGTCCAGGTGTGGTTCCAGAACAACCGGGCCCGGGACAGGCGCGAAGGCCGCCTGGTGCACATGCCGTACTCGCCCGCGTCCGCCGCCGCCCACGCTGCGACCACCCCGAGTCTCGCCGAGCAGCCGCTCGACCTGTCCACGAAGCGGGGCCGCCACGGCAAAGACGGCGGCACGGACGACGACGAGTGCAACGGTGGCCGCGGTGCCGTGTGCAATGTCACGCTAAACAACAAGTGCACCATTCAGTTCAAATGTTGGACCGCCAACAACCGGGACGACTGCAGTTCGTCGCCGCCCGCGTCCATGCTGCAGCCGCATTGCCGCAAGACGTTTCTGGGAGGCGCGTACCCGCCGCCGTCGCCAGTCTGCGCGGCGCCGCCCCCGCCGCCGCCTTCGTCACACTTGCACCATCCCGCGTCCCATTCGCCCATACCGGCTGTCGCGCTCCGGCACAACGGCAGCTTGAGCCCTGCGTCCGAGAAACGTTCGTGGAAGAGAGTGAGTATTCAATGACTTTATACTATTGTAATAATTTAAGTTTTTGGAAGGGGGGGGGGCGATGCCATATTGCCGATATCGTGTGACTCGCGTATTAACTATATATATTAAAACGTCTTGCAATTCTCCAAGTGCATACCTACACTGCAAGTGCACAATTATGGGTATATAACTGATGGTCTGATCCAATGAATTTGCTAGTGAAAAATTAAAAGTATTATATTATTTATGTTCATTTTATCTATTTATCGTAGCTACAGTTTAATGAAACATATTTTTATAGCAAATATTATTAAAAGTATACGCAAACGCACATCACATTATTGTAATATGTAGTTGTTCATGGTTAGGAGCCCCTATCGAACAATAAACCACAATAATTTATATAAGTATAAACAGTAATTAATAAAATATAATTGTAAATTTTAAATTAAAACAATAGAATGCCATATGACGCGTATTTCTGGTTACTGCGTTCGTCTATTTTAATTCATATGATAAAGATAATATATAGTATCGTGTTTATATATTTATACTTCACATCATAATCACTGATAATAATAATTTATTTATATTGTGATTTGTGACATTATAATTTATTGATTCAAATCATAACCTTGGTAAAAAGTGTTGTTTGACACGTAGTGCGTTGTATTTGCCAAATTATTTCTAATTCTAATAGAATAATAGATGTTAATATATTATTATCATTATATTACATACCAATTGACATGCGAAATATTACCTACACATCTGTTTTACTGTCGGCTCTAAAAAAAACTGATACCCGATACACTACACAGGTTGATTTTTAAAGCATGCTCAGTGTTCCCATTCATCCCTTTAACAAGAAATTTACCTATATATTCGGATTTTCAGAATTATTAAGTATAAAAACCTAAAAACCATATTTTAAAATATCTGATATTTTTGTCGGTATTAGGTACTTAAGAACCCTGCAGTAGTGATACAATCTTTTATATTTCAAATGAAGCCCCCCCCCCTTTTTGTACCGCAATTTATTTAGCAGATGATTTTCTTAATGCTAAGTATTTTTCATTTATAACTTTTTTTTTTAATTTTTCCGTTTAAAAAAAAGTTATCGGAGTGCGGGAGCTTTTAGATCAGTTTGCCACCGATTGCGTATAATAATATATTCCTACCTACACGTATACTATTTAACGGCGTTACGTTGTTTTGAATATTATATACATTCGCACATGGCACATATTATTATATACGTCACCTCTCGTAATTGCACTCAATTTTACCTCGTTAACTTAATTAACGTTCGGACGGCGCGCGTTATCCTATATACATATATGTATATACCTATATATCTATATTATATTGTCTGCTGCGGTAGCAATATGTATTCGCTTTGCGGTGTACTCGCACATTGTTAACGCTAAATTTAGACATATATGACTAGCCAAGTATGACTAAAAAAAGTAATATTTAATAACAATTATTTTTTTTCGGAAATTTATAGGAATATGGAGACTGGAGCGACATGACGGACGAAGCCGAAGACTCTGGATGCACGTCCCAAGATCCAGACGACGCGGTGTCAACCAGAGGCGGAGCAGGCATCATGCACAACAACAATAACAATAACAACAACAGCCACAACAACAACACCAGCAATGGCTCAATGGTGGCCGCAGTCGGTTCACCCAGCAAAAAATCCAAACCGTCATCTGTGGAATCTGCCGAAGTACCAGGTATGCTCCAGTGCATTGATTATAACTTATATCTAACTGTATGCGCATGTAAAAAATAAAGATGTAGATAGTTATATGTTAGGGATAGATAATTATTAATGTTAACATTTGGATAATGTTGAGTGTCGTCATTAGCCGGATAAAATCAACATAATCCATGCATTTTGACTCATGTGTAATTCTTCTTTAAAAACATGAAAAATATCAATACTATTCGGATAATGTTAAAAGTTCTATATTCGATGTACCTACTTAAGTAGTTAAGTGTTAATCTTCTAGTTCTAATATAGTTTGTGCAATTCAAAATGTCATGACTCACGGAAGCATATCTTGTAATAATAAATTAAAAATATTTTAATTCTATATTTAAAATAATATTTGTAAAATAAAATATTCAATTTGTATTTTTAAGGGTATACAATATACAATAATACAATCTTATATAGTTGTTACCTAAGGCATTATCATATTGGCTAATAATTAATATCATATTATCCAGTTAACTTTAATATTATTTATTGGCCAACATCTAATAATATACATGGAGGATAATGATAACATTTGACTAATTTTGTATTATATGGATAATGACGACATTAATGCTAATTAACTTAATATTACTCCCAAGGCTGCAACACATCTGTTTTATTATAGGTAGTAGATGCACCTTGAACAGAAAGAACTGACAATAATAGCTCGTATACTATATAATCATTATTTTCTATATTCAATCATTCGTGTATGTATGGGTTATATTTTTTTAAATATAATTTTTGATTGATTTCATATAAGTTTAAGGTATGAACAGGTATCTTATATTAAATAGTTGGTCAATTGTACCTATTAATTGTCGGTTATTTCTCGCGCGCATACGTTACCCGCTGCTGCAACTGTCATAAATCATAATATATAATGTTATATTGTAATTTGTAGGCACGTAGGTAACATTTTATTGATCGATAACTTTGTCGTTGCAGATCAAAGACCTCACAAATGCGACGTTTGCCCGAAAGCGTTCAAACACAAACACCATCTGACCGAGCACAAGAGGCTGCACAGCGGCGAGAAACCATTTCAGTGTTCCAAGTGCATGAAACGATTTTCGCATTCGGGTTCGTACAGCCAGCACATGAACCACCGGTTCTCGTACTGCAAACCGTATAGAGAGTAACTTAATTCAACAGATCTACTCAAAACCGACAGTATATACCTACATTTAATAATAATAAATATAATATGTGCATGGTGTATAATATGTATTGTCACCGTCTCTATACCGCTTTATTATTATCTAATAATTATAATATATAATAATAACTACTATATACTACTACTATTACTACTACTACCTACTACTACTATTTTATTATTACTACTACTATTTCTACCTTTTGCCTCGATTTTTGACGGTTTTTGTTTTTCGTTTTTTTTTCCAATATTCTTAGTTGTTTGTTTTTTTTTTTTTGTAACACCCGCCCCCTTTTTTATTCATTTGGAAAACAATAAAAAAAACATTGTAAAAAAAAAGTAAAAAACCTTAACGCAATATGTATTTAAAAAAAAAAGGGTCAACTTATATAATATATATATATAAAAATGTGAAAAATATAAATTAATATTTATATATACCTATATATATATATGTATATAATAATCGAGACAATAATTTTTCGGGTTGTACGACACACTCCGCGCCTATTTATATGTAATAATATATGTATAATATAAAGTGATGTGTGTTAGCCGTTATCATTCTGAATTTATATTTTTATATAAATGTTAATTATATAGTATAAATATTGTATAAAGTTTGTCAAAAAAAAAATTATCAATAAGTTTACATATGTTCTGAGTATAATATTATGTATATGATTAATGATACCACGAGAGACAATAACTAAAGTATATAATAATGAAACAATTTTTAAACTTTGTAAATATATAGGCCAGTTTTCTAGTGTGTGTTTTTTTCATGAAATATTAATATATTTATATATATAAAAAAAAAATCTTATTATTACTATAATTATTATATAATAAAAAAAATAAATAACAAAAATGTTGAAAAAAAAATCTATTTATAGTATGTATATATAATATATACTTATATACTTAATAATAACCAACTTTCGATTCTCACGTATATTACGCCCTGCGTATAATAAATTGTTATCGATTCAAATATTTATATTATATACGCGAGCTAATCTACGACGATTTTCACCATATAATAAACCTTATTAAATTAATAAATCGTTCGGCAAAAGCAAAAAAAAAAAAAAAAACCATTTTTAACTTTTCCCGCTTATATATTTATATATATATATTATATTATAATATATAGTATTTGTTAGCAATCGTCCGTTACATATTTTTTGTTCGATATTATAATATTATTATTACTACGGTATTAAAAATATATAGTATATTATATTATTGTACATAGGTATATATAATATATATAATAGTATTATGAATTTGTTGAATCGACTTAATCCCTCTATATATAATATATTTGTATAACATTATAATAATTCACAGATTATATATTATTAGCTTAAAGGTTTTATTTATAGCATACACCTATATACAATCGCCCACCACACCGGACACTCCCCGCTGAATTCGAATAATTGTGTATCGTTTTTCGAAATTTTCGTTTGTACTTACAGTCCCGCGTATAATATTACCTACTAATTATATTATTATGATATTATAATATATACTAAGCAGTATTATTATCAGCTATTTCAACAAACGATGACGTCAGTATATATTTGATACCTAGTGTATACAATAACAATTACATATTATAATATATACTCTTTGCTGCTGAAGTTATAAATACATTATTTCTCGTAATTTATTACAATAATGTTTATATACATAATACATACTTAACGCGAGTTTTGTGGGACTATTTTTTTCTAAGGGTCGATTATTATTATTATTATTATTATTAGAATTATTATTATATTTGATCGGTGAGAAAAATGATTCAATTTTTTTTTAACCGACAAATTATGTGAATTCAACGTGCCTAAATAATTATATTTTTCAGTATTTTATTAATTTATTATATAATAAAAATATTTATAAAATACGCCGCGTGCGAAAAAAAATGTTGTAAATAAAATTATATATATACATTTAAGGTTTGTGTGTAGGAAATACGATTTTTTTTTAGTTTTAAAATTGGGCTAGAGTGACCAAAGATAATTAAGGAAATATGTTTAATCTTAAGCATTCGTAAAACTGTTTTACATTTTATATATATAAATGTATATATATATGTATGTATGCATAATATACATTATATAACTTAACTCGTGTAAGTACGTTTTCCGTGTTTTTTTTTTTCGACTTTTATTTTGTGCAATGTGTTTGATTATTATATATTTTTTCTTTTTTTAAGTTAATATATAATATTTTATGATGTACGCTTTTTTACGGTATCTTCTATGTTTTTTTGGTTATTTAGTTTATTTTGGTTATTGTGATTTTTTTTCAACAATTTTATTTTACATTTTTCAAAGATTTTTCAATATATATAATATAATACTTATTATAAAATTAATATGATTTTCATTATTTTATTTAAAAAAAACATTTATATAATATTATATATATTTCAATGTATATATAATACAATTTATACATAATATATATATAATTTAACGTAGTTACCCGTACATTATATAATATGTTCGGATTTATAAATAGGTTTATATTGTAATAATATATGCATAATGTATTATATGGAAAAATTATAAATATGTAATGTGTATACATAAATGGCTAAAATTTAATAATTTACATTTACTCGTTTTTTATTCATTGTATTGTATTCAAACGTCATACTTTTTCCTGGGATTGTATGTACGTATGTTATAATGGCACATGCAAATTGGTAGTATCTAACTTTAATGGTTTAGGTAACCCACATTACCCACTTAACTATTATAAATTATAATATATCATGGGTTTATACGGTATTGATAATGACCATTCATGTTTGCTAAAAACGTATATCCCCCTCCCCTCAAACCAAATTCCTAATTACGCCACTGGTACCTACATCTTGATGAAATTGTTGGTATATACTTATAGGTAGATATAGTACGAACACATCGTCATAGTGAAATAGAAAAATCTAATTAATTGAAAATATGGTTCCTATAGTGATATATAGTTATCATACTAGAAAATGCAAAAAATTATAATTTAAGTAAACTCTTTATGAGGAAAAAATGTTGGTGAATCGCTCTGTACCTATCTATGCATATATTTATATACTCAACTAGCTGATCCCTTGTACTTCGTTACCCGTTAAATGTACCAAATATATATGACTCAAACTCTGTTCAATTCGTTATTTAATATTCAGTGTATGGTGTTCAAAATTTATATTAACTTTTTCGTTGCCCGGAATAATAATAATAATTCTGATTAGTAGCAGTATATTATAAGGTAGGCAATCTACTATTGCGGTAGATCACAGACCCCGAGCTGTTTGTACGTAAGTGTATGATTTAACTCTAAAGTATCAAAGTTATACCAAGTTTGTTGTATTGCACATATGGTGGATTAATATAATCAGTTAATACAAAATCCTAACCGTACTAATATCAGATGAATAAAAAAAACCAAATTTAAACCATTTTTAAATTACCCTACCTTCTTCCCAGAAGTCTAATCTACACACAAACATGCATTTATTCATATATATATTGACAAAAAATAAAATACAAATCAACAAACATGCCCGATTAACCAATAGCAACCAATATAAATTATAATAAACTATTGCACCACTGTTGTATTTTTTTCATCCAGATTTCCTACTTTTCCGGTTGATTTTCTTAAAATTTTCTTTCGTATAAATCTTCTCCTGGCAATTATACGAACACTTTAAAAAAAATTTGAGCCAAATCGCTCTGGCCGTTTTCGAGTTTTAGCGAGATAAACGAACAGCAATTCGTTTTATATATATATAGAAGATTATATTATTTATAAGCAATATATAATATGAAGGTTATACAATCCTGCAGTAACCATATAGCAAAGGCATCCAATATAACAGCACTTGTGTCAGAATATAGATATTAAAAACACTGAACAGCTACCATTTTCCAACACTTCCAAGTTTAAAGTTTCCATTGTTTCCAATTCAAAATAGTAAAACAATACACATTCCATAACGGTCTGCTCCGAACCATACCATGATTTAAGGGAAACACTTAAACCACATAAGACCGAAGACCCCTAAATAACTGCAGAACTCGTGTTGGATCACGTCAAAAAATATTTCCTTGTCACACGCCTGGACGCCGCAATAAATATTTTACAATAATTTGAGCAGCTATTACAATAGCATCAGTTGAAATCTCGTTTTGTCATCATAATTTATATTGTACAGGAGACCCGTGGTTTAACGATAGAGTGGGCGAGATTGGCGATTATAGAGATAAAATTACTAAATTTTTTAATGAATAGATATAAGAACAATATTTATATTTTAACTATAGGTATATCATAATCAATCATTGAATCATATACCTATATATACTACTCAGTGGTAGTAACGCTTGAAATCGTCGGTTTTTGTAGAAAATCCAAGAGCAACACATCTGCTGACCTCGTCAGTTTGTAAAAATGTGATTATTATTGTTAATCAAACCATATAGGTACCATTTATCAGTATATGATAAGGATTTATTTGACAAGTCATTATGGGGATGGAAAAGACAAGAGGGATCAGGCTGCAGGCCGACCTCATATGATGCATATTATGAATATTATGATGGTCATAAAGTATTGTGACAGAACACAGAAAGGTCAAGACGAAGTATAGATAAGATTTCATTGCGAGCAACAAATTAACATACATAATGACAAATAAACTTAATATATTATTTTCATTATGATCACGAATCATGATTTATTTTGTAGTGTATATTATAAGCGGCAGTGGTGGACCGAACCATGAATGAGCCATTAGTCTAATATATATTATATAATGTATAATTGTGTCTCTAATGTTATATATTTGCCTTAACTAAGACATGATATAAAGGTACAATGAAGTATGAACATATTACATATTATAATGTGATATCTTGCAGTTCTTTTGCCCAAAAATGGTTAGTATCAGTGACGACTATAGTCAAA